AAAGTCTAGCTCAACTCTTTCTTTCCCTTTCAAAACGTGCGACGCTTGGGATGCATTTTGCATGCCTCGCCCGTTCGTTTACAGCGCTGCTCGCCGTAGCAGTGAGCAGTGCACGTTGAAGCTTAAACTACACCCGTAAAAATTCCCTAAAAGCTAAAAGTAAGTCCGCCCTAAGCTAAATCCGGAATAAATCCTCGCTGACCTCCCCGGGAGCTCGGAGCTCCTTTGTCCGAGAAGTCTTGGACTGCAGGCGGACAGCAATCTGCTTGGCGCGCAGCTCGAGATCTTCCTTCGCTCACGAAGGAAAAGGGTCTCCTTACCTTATGCGGTCCTAAAAGTACTCTCGGGTTCTATGATAGGGTCCCTGTGAAGGGGTCCTTGAAAGGGTTACTTGAAAAGGGCGTCTTTAAAAAGGTTCCTTTACAGGGGCTCCTTTGATCCTTCCTTCGAGCTGCACTTCTGTTAAACAAGGGGCTCTTTTAAAAGGGTCTCTACACGGACAAATTACTTTCAGGGTTGCTTTAAAGGGCTCTCATTGTGACAATAAGAGCTCTATAATATAGGGCCAACATGAGGTTTCTGTAAGGGTTCCTCTGAGAATACAGGATATAGGGGCCTTATGAATTTCAATCTTGTTCGTTGAAGGGTCTGAAATTGAAAAAGCTTACCATAAGAGTTTGTAAGGGTTTTCACGAGGCCTTTTCTAGTAGACACCTCAATCATTAGAATGGGTTCGTTTCAGGGTTCTATAGGGGTTACAGGGGTTATATAAGAACATTATTGAAAAGGGGCCCTCTGAATTAGAACCGGGTTTGTGGGCAGTGTTCGCCAAATTTATATCACTGGAAAACCCTTACAGATAGTCTTGTAAAGATTCCGGCCTCCGTAGTAGGCCCTCAAAGCAACAGCACGACAAAGCTTGATGCCAAGGACAAGCCTTGAGATTCAGTATGCCCAAGCGTCTTGAGTGCTGGAGTAAGACTGCGGCGCCAAGACGCTCGCAATCTCCTGGAAGACAACTTGCAGGACAGATGCGTAGGTTGCCAGCTCTGCGTCGGTGAAAGCTCCTTCCACTCCGAGCATCGCGTTCTCGTAGGGCTCTGCCGGGACGGCGAAATCAGGCTCTGCCAAGATAGGAAAGATGGAGGGCTGCGGCCAGGGAAGGTTGATGAGCCAAGATGCAACGGCCTCCGACTGGAAGCACCCGGAAGAGCAAACCAGGAGGGTTTTCACAGCATAGTCCGGAAAGTCTTCCCCTGCTTTCAGGACCACTGGAGACAGTCGAAGTTCTTTGCCCAATTTCAGAAGCTCCAAAAGTATATGTGCGGTTGCAACAGCCTCCTGATTTGCAGGATCTACAAGAATGACGCAGTCTGGGCGAGCTGATCTTCTCTCCAGAGATGGCAGGACCGTACCCGTCAAGGCATCGCAGATCTTCCCAATACCTCGGGCGATTGAAAGATCCCTACAGTAGCCTTCCTGCCTCAGACATAAGGGCCTGTGACGGTTCAGACCAAGGCGACCCAGCTGCTCTCCGTATCCAGCGAATGAGGGAAAGGAAAGGAATCCAAAGTCTTCATCCAGTGCAAAGTGCTCGAAACATCATGCAGGGATATGCTGTAGGCTGTTAAAGCCTCAATGCCGGGAATGGCGAATGAGAGATCCTCGTGTGTGGTGGCACTCGGGTCCGTGAAATTCGGCCATCTGACGACAACGCTGTGAACCTGGAATCGTTCCCCCCCCACACACACAAACACAAACCCACACACCCAAGTTTGCAAAAGCGGCGCAGCACGGCATCACCTAAGATAGTGGGTAGGCTATGGGAGCCACTGCAGCCTTGTGTAACTTGGCGGTGACGACCTCGCCCACACACCATTTGCGCCCCATAATGCCTCAACTCGCTTGTGCTTGGGCTTCCTGTCACCAACTCCCGTTCCCGCATGGTGGCTAAATGCCAAAAGAAAAACTGCACAAGCGGAAGCCGAAGTTCCTGGGCTGGCCAAGATAATAAGAGTCTCGGTGTCCCTGACGAAGTTGAAGAGTTCCGTCAGATCCCGTAAGTTGTCGGTGTCCAAGAAAACATTGAAGGCAGAGCCCCGCTGTTGCAGCTGGATCTTCAGAAGTCGCGCAAAGCTGCCGACTGCACGCTTGTGATGGGAGATGAAGAAGCGCCAGGGCTTCCGATTCTGGCGGACGAGGTACAGGCCGAATCCGTAGAGGATAGCGACGGCAACTGCCACTACCATCATCACGAGGAAGAACAAGGAGATGGCAGTTGCCTGAACCAGGCTGGCGCCGTCAACGTCGTGGCCGGCAAAGAGGGATGCCATGTAGAGCACCACCTGCGATGCAAGCCCATCCCTGAACCTCGAAGCCTCAAACCTTCTCTGGGCTCCCGCCAGATCTCTATAAAACGCCCGTGACATGAGGGCCCTGAAACCTGAAGGCTTGAACTCTGTGAGCATTCTGAGACGCGGGGCGACAGATGCAGCCCAGGTACAAGCAAACCCACGTGAAGCAGTGTGTCCAACACGTTGCTTGCGGGAACTCGCCAGGGTTGGCTCACGGTCATCGCGATTAAGCTCACGTAGAGGAGCATGTTGAGCACTACCAGCTTCACTGAAACCGAGGGAAGCAACGGGCACAGCACCATCAGCGCGTTTCCTCTGATGTTCCGACATGAGCTTTTCATAACATACAGTAATCCCGTTGGTGATTCGATTCTCGCCGGGCAGCTCACTTGCATGAAGATGACGAAACGCTCCCCTCCGGGACGAAAGCGCAGCCAAAGGAATGAGCATGCCCGGCAGTAGGTGGCATCGGCCCGAAGCAGCCTTTTGGGAAGCTCCAGGTGGATGATCCAAATGCACACAGCCAGAAAGGATAGTGGCATCAAGCATGCCACTGCGCCGATCACGCTCATCTGCAGGTGTGCATCACGCAGATTGCAGAAGACTGAGGCATACTGCTGGATGGTCCTCGGCTGTAAGCTATGTCTGGACGCTTCGCTTCTGGCTGCCAGGTGTGAAACCTTCTCAGCTCCTCTCGGGATTCTCTTCTGGCTATATCTGCAAACGCTAAAGTCCCTAAGCTCCTTAAACCCTGAGCCCTTTTGAGAAGCCCCAGGCTCATTCGGCCGTTTGGGTGGGAGTTGCACTGAAAGGGCGTGACCAAGGCCGTGAAGATTCCGATGAAGAGCAGCGACACCAGGGAGCCCACCGTCCGCAGGAGCTGGCTCGCATCCAGCCTCACCTCTGGGCTTCAAAAGGAGCAAAGGGTGCCTGCGTTTGGGGGGTTCCTTAGAAACAGCGTCACACCCTCCTTTCGAGATCTATATCTGTCTATATCTGTATCCATCCATGGACCGATCTATCTATGTACAGCTTTGTTGTGTATCTCTAGATTCTCTCTCGCTCTATATGTATATGTATATATATATACACAAATATAGGTATATATATATATATATAGAGACATATATATATATATATATATACATATATATATATATACATACAGACATGTGCACGAACATACACACAACTTTCTATACCAGGGCCCCTCGCTGTTTTCAAACTCCCGCCTTTAAGCTCTGCCTCACATATCTTTTGAACGCCACAGCCAACAGGTGCAGAACCAGAGCGATGCAGGCAAGTATCGGTGTAACTGACACAGAGAGAACATACTTCAGGACCGGACTGACAGTTGCAACACATGAGAATGCAATCATATCCAGATCCACGCCCAAAACTGCTATGCCCTTCAGAATCTCATTCACGGGCTCGTGCCACTCGATGCCCAGCTTGCTGACGACGAGCAGCTGCTGGATAAGGGTCACAAGCTGGCTTAAAGCCACAATGCCCACGAACAAATGGCCCGGTTGCGTAGCCCGGTCTGCTTGAAGCGCCAGGACGACATAGACCAGAGCGATGCAGAACCTACGCGGCAACGCGAACAAAATACCTTCATCCTGAGTCCCGAACCTTCGACCCGTTAAACTCTTCGTAGCAAAGGAACACCAGGGCAAAGACGACCGCTCCGAAAGCAGCATAGGACGTGGCGATCCAAGGGCCACAGGACCCATCTTGAAGGGGCATTCGCCCCGGCAGACAATCGGAGCACCTCGCCGACAGGTTGTGGGAGGGAGGGAGTCACATTGATTACAAAAACCTGCTGAAAACACCTCTTTCACAAACCCTCAGCCTTCTAGAACCCTGAAGGCCCTAGACGCACCCCCAAAGACTGAGGCTGCGAGTTTTCTGCAGCTTTGAGCACGTAATCGTCCCAGGATCTCGCCCAGGTGCACAAGACCCCGGTGGTCCACCCGAGCAGCGGGAGGCTCGTCCAAAGCATCTGTACACCATTCCTTTGAGTGCAGGAAAAATCTGGATTTGGGTCTAGTCTAGAAAGTCCAGCCAAGTATAACCCACAAGCCTAGTCTGATTTCAAAGGCCCCTATCGTAGACAACCTCAACTCCTGGAACACGGATGAGTGTTTGGAACACAGGACCCAACTACTGTCCCCGAGTCCGTGGCACCAGCGCCCCAAACCCCAAACGCCTGAAAACCTACATGGTAGAACGTAGCGTCTCTAAGATAGGAATGACTGTTGTGGTTTGGGTAAGTATTGCGCGTAAACCCGAGGCTGAGGCCTCACCTGCACGCAGCTCAGCTTACCTTGTAGTCCCAGACCTGCGGCTCGGCTGAGCCTGAAAGCCCTAAGTCCTAAAGGTAGCAACGGGTGTAGATCGGCTGACGTAGCTCGACCCCCAAACCACCTTCCGCTCCCATTCGCATAGACCATCTGAGCGTTTTTCGAGGCCGTTTCGGACGCAGGTTTTGGGGCTGGAATCTTCATGGTACTTGCAGGAGGTCGGCGTGCAAACAGTGCAAGGTGCCCAAATAGACCCTGGTGCCCCGTCCATGAGGGTTTCGTAGACACCTTTTTAGAAACCTGCATACAGCCCCTGTAAAGAGCCCTATAAGACCCCATTACTACAAGGGACTTGACTAGATGCTTGCAGAGAGCCCTTCTGAAGCACTTTACGAAACCCTACAAAACCCCTTAATAAGCAATTCAAAGAAACTCATCGGATCTCGGCTCTTCTCATTGCATCCGAGGATCCCGGCTCCTCAACAGCTTTGCAGCTTCGGCTTCGGCTTTTGGGGCTTTAGAGGTTCAGGGGTTGAGGGGTTCAGGGTTTAGGACCCATCTCCAGAACCCAAGTGGATTAGCTTACGTTTCCAGTATCCTGGGGACAACTAAAGGCTCACCTACTCTAGGACGAAGTCAGGATTTGGGGAGGAACTGATCGATGTTAGGTGGTGGGGTGTCGGTTAAAGCGCGTCTCATGCCCCGATTGCGAAGCCTAGGGTCTCCCATCGAGCCCAAAACAGAACGGCTCTCCCAACGAGCCCGGGGCAGGGGTTTGGGGCGGTGTGGGGGTTTAGGGTGTCCTCCACGCTGGAGGAGTAGCCCGGAAGCAGCCACAGCTGGCTCCCAACGCACCGGGAGCCCCAGATGCACCGCTGGCAAATCGACTGTTGGTTTAGAAACCTGGGCCGGAAGGCGACGGCTTGACACCTGCTTAAGTGGTCGTTTAAGCCAAACGCCCCCCAACGGTGGCTGTGTTGGGCTTGGTGTATGAGACATTGCGTTTGGCATGTGGAATCTGGTCTCACATGTGCGACTAACATGCTGTAGGCTGCAGGTTGTGACAAGTGGCCAACCTGCGATGCAAGTGCAGAATGACTCTGATGTCACTCCAGTCACTTGAACCCATGTCTCTGCACCATCGCTCGCGACAAGCTGGCTGGTAGTCCAATGCTCACTGCCGCAGGCATGGCAAAAAGTCATTCCGCTGGCATTTGCATACCGACCCAGGTCACAGTAATCGCAATGGGCTCTACCAGAGCTGTTTGTGAAGGTCCCTGCATCGCATTCCACGCAAGCGGTCTGACCAAAGGCACTTTCGAAAGTTCCTGGAGGACACGGCTCACACACGAAGGATGGACCAGTGTCATCCTCCATAGATTTGGAGAAGCTGCCGGGACGACATGTCGAGCAACCGAGCGCTTCAGAGCGGTTGCTGACATATTCCCCCAAGGAATTTTGCAGCCCTTCCCCTGCTAGGCATTGAGTGTCCACAGGAATCCACTCTGTCCAAAGGCTCCTCTTAAGCCGAATCCAGTTGCAGGCAGCAGCCCAGGGAGTCGCTCCTTCATGGACCTCCAGCAAAAGGCCTTGGATATCTTCCAAATCCATTAAAAACTTCTCCAAGAACCGCGAAACTCGAGGCGCCAGAACAGGGAGGTGACTTGATACGAGCTTCTCAACAATCACTTCCGGAAAGCCAGTCCGGTACAAGTTCACAGCCCACTCGCGCCGCGAGTGCCGTGGCATCGCCACTATCCATGCATCCAGATGCAGGAAAGTTGCATCAGGATACCACCAATAGAAAACCGTCTCAAAGTTCTCCACCACTGACTCCCAGTGACCTTCTTTGGCGATGCCGATTGCTGTCGGCATGGAAAACCAGGTAGACCACTGCATCCACACCTGGCGCTGGAAAGGTCTGTCCAGGATACGTCAGGCCTAGCCACCATAGGGTAATGCTGGGACCCTAGTAACCAACAGTTGTATGAAACAGATGCACGAAATAACTTGATATAGGTAATCGTTTCGATCCGCATACTAGTCCTAGTCTTAAGATGGGGGGTCCGAATCCCGGGAGCTCAAGCAAGCATGCTCCTTCGAAGCTTAACCCTGCAGGCTGGATGTTGGGCTCCGAGCTTCTCCTACACCCCCAACATGGGAATCCTAGAACTCCCATCCTCTGAAACCTGCGAAGCCGAGAAGACCCTGAAGCTCCTCTTAGCCTCTGAAGTCCCAGAGGCGTAATAGTTCCAGCCAAACCCAGCCGCAATGACGGGAATGCACTCCGAGGTGTTGTGGCGACAAGCCTCAGGGAACCCCGAAACCTGAATGTGCAAAACCAGAAGGAAGTACCGGAGTTTTACGGGGGCTTTATAGTCTTTCAGGAGATACTTTGGCTTGATACTGCAACGCTTAGAGTTTATGGGATTTGGCTTGTTTTTCGCATGAATGGCAGATGCTGAGGAGCTGGAGACAGCCAGAAGTAGTCATCCGGACAGTTGGCGATGTAACCAGTTGGAGTTCCGACAACGCCTTCTGTATCTCCTGTCACCTCTGCATAGGTCCTGATCTGGACATGGCATGCGGGGCTTGTTGTCCTCTTGGTCCCTCATCCCAGTTACAGTCGGCTATGCATTGCCCTTCTACCAAGCCTTCCGCCCGAGGGCCCTACAACCTCCAAAAACCCTAGCCGATAAATCCCTTACAAGCGCTTTGGCCCCAAGCCCCAAAACCCTAAACCCCTAACCTAAACCCTACACCCTAAACCCTAAGCCGTGGCCTCATTTGATAATCGCTGGCCGACTCGTAGTTGCTCGAGTTGCAGGGGACAAACTGTGCAGTGTCCAGGTCGGAGACGCGGCTGAAGAACTTTGCCGCTTGATGCCTTAGGTATCAGGGTTAAGGGTTTCGTTTTTTTTTTTGAGCTCCCTTTTCAGAAGGGCTTCGGGGTTAATGGCTTGGGGGCTTGGGGCTTAGGATCAAGTTGACCGATGTTGGGGATCAAGAAATGTTGACAAGCAGGCTTTCCAAGCAAAGCCCAAGTTGGTAATCATATGAATGTCGTCCCTATATTATATTACAATACCCCCCGTGCAACCAACATTTTCCACCAGAATGCACCGTTGTAAAACTTCGTATAATATCATACTGGATATACCTCTATACACATCTGAATAAATACATGAGTACAAACATAAAAGCAAAAATATATAAACATAAGTATGAATTCATATAAACAAATAAATAACGAAATAAATGTATATATATATATACACATATCTGTATATGTATATACATATATATATATATATCTACATGTGTATATATATATATATATTATTCCCTTACGGTCCCCCATATTTTGGAACCGCAGTTAGTAAATTATGATACTGTCGACTAGCCCCAGATGCACGGAGGTGTTGTAACTCCTGTAGAAATCCAACGCAAGACCACCGGCGTGGTAGGCCTCTTCACGTACCGAGCCTTTCACATAGAGGGACTCCTGGGGGCGTCAGGGTTTGAAGGCAGTTCTTCGAGGTTCGGGCTTTAGGACTCCACGGAGTTTCAGAGTTTGCTTGCAAGGGGTTAGGGTTTGGGGGTTGAAGTGTTAAGGGTTCAAGATTTCAGGTGCAGGGCTCAGGGCTTTGGGTTGGGGAGCACAAGGGTTTTGTTTGACCTGTGGAGATAGTCGACTCGCTAAACAGCATTTTGTTCCGACCTCTAGAGCACAGATGCCATGACCACAGACCCAAAAAGAATCAATGACCCATTCTCTGCGTCAAGGTGTACGCCGGATTGAACGTAACTCTCTATAGTTGCCATAGACCCCTAAATCCTGCTTGCAAAGACCACTTCGTTAAGGTTCCTCGGATCTTCAGAAAAGCCCCCTTTACCTGATTCCAAGGACGCCTTCATTGAGGTACCTCTGATTCGCCTCAAGCCCCTTTACCTGATTCCCATGATATTATACTATAAGTAAAATTTGTTTTGGCCCTATATCAGCTCTGTGCCCCCTTTTGGCTCCTGGCCGGTCCAGCCCATGGAGCCTAACCTTCGTGGTGCCAGGCTGGGGCGCGTGGTCTCCAAATTCGCAAACTCCCCGGGAGTTCCCCAGAGCCAGGTGTCCTTCAAGGCTGGGCTTGGGGGTTTCGGAGCTTCGGGGCTCGGTAATGCTTGGAGGCTGTGGGGGCTTCGGGATGGGTAGCCCTGGCCCTGGGTCCATGGCCACGTGGCTTCGCGGCTGTCTCTCGCTGCAGTCTTGCGAAACACAACCAGCGAGCTGCAACGAGCCCGCGACGGATTCCGTAGCTCGTTCAGTGTTCATTGTAACGTTGTAGCCCAAGACCTCTGAGAGCAAGATCCCCGTGAGCTCTGAGGCCACCTCTGCAGATATCCAATCATACACGACCATCCGGATCGCAGTCTCGCGAAGTCCTGCACTTTCCAAGCCCTCCTCCTGGATGTTCTGCCAGCTGCTCCTTTTCTGAACTTGGCACCCTTGCAAACATGCATATACTAGCTGGTTCTTGGAGATTTACGAGAACCAAAAATCCGAAAATGCTTCCAAGTACCCCTAAGTCTCTCTGGAATGCCATCAGGTAGGCAAAGCTCCCTGCCAGAGATCAGAAAAAACAAAGAGCTCTTTAAGAGCGCGACAAGTCGCCAGGGAAGTGCACCCATGGCTCGTCGCAGTGCGAGGCATCAACGCTCCTCTTACAAGCATCTCTCTGTGGTATTCATTTAGCCATACTATAGAATTGACTTAGTCTTCATCATGTTCTAACCCCAAAACTCTGACGCAAGCTTGAGCAACTAACTCCGAGACCTGGAATTCAAGATGAGACAGGAACGAAACCCTGAAGCGCAAAACCCGAAACCCGAAAACACTCAAACCCTAAACCCGAAACCCCGAACACCTCAACCCAAAACCCTGAGCCCTAAAATCCTAAAGCCCTTACCACCAAAACCCAAAACACTAATCCCTTCAACACTAAAAGCCACAAGCTCGAAACTGCCCTAAACCGTAACACCCCAACACCTAAAGACCCGGAAACCCTCGGACCTTGCTCGACCCAGGACCGAATCACCATTTCGGATTTGTTTGAAAGCGTCAGGGCTTTGAAGTGATCTCGATAGGGAGACCCCAAGATATAAATGGCACACGGGTAATATAAGGGTAACATACGGATGCTGCACGGGTCGAGTAACTAGTAAACTAGACCTTAAAGCTTAAAGTAGCTAGCGTGCACGGGGCCAGGAGTCTGCTCTGGGTCCTACAACCTGGAACGCCTGGGTATTCATAGGTCGTTAGAGGCCATCACGGAACTGTAGGCCTCGGGGCTATGCTAGTCTTGTCATGCAAATTAGTTTTCTTGTTATGACTACTTTTCCAAGACCCCTGCCCCCAGTTCTTCCCGTGGCGCTATTCGGCCTTAGGATGCTAACGGAACGAAAGCATGCGTTTGGGATTGCATGTTCTTTCATGTGTGTTTGACCTCCAAGTCCCAATCTGTTGAAACAGTTCGAAACTCAGAGGCAGGCTTCGTGCCTAATGTGTCAGATATGCTCCCTTTCGGACACACCTTAAGATCTGTGATCCCTCTACAGTGCTACATGTCTGCAAAGGGCTGCATGTCATACTACACCGTGCTTAACGGGTGTTAACAATCTGCAACCCTCTAAAGCCTCGAGCATTCTCTGGCGGGAAATGTGCAGGGTCCTACGGGCGGAAACATGGCAAGCTCAGGCTGAAATACGACAGCCGGCATAACTGAAACTGGCCATGTCACAGGTAAACAAAGCTTCATGAAAATACAGGATCAAAGCCTGTAAGCCTCTAAGCCTGGACGGGAATAGGCCAAGATCGACCTGCATTTGGACCATACATGGCATGCTCTCAAAACCAAGCCTTGAAGTAAACCCCGACACCTGCAGATGGTGCACCGAGTGGCATGTCCGTTCAATGTTTTTGCGCAGTTGTGATGCCTGAGCTACTGAAGCCTAGCCGCAGAAACTGAAACACCAACGCAGAGATCATAGCCCTCCGAGTAAATATGGCGTACGGCTGCACGCGTCATGGTAACCGTAGCATTCGTTGTAGCTATCGTGCAGTTGTGGTCTGTGATGTATCGCTCTGTGAAACAGTTTCGCGTTCTGCTTCGGACTTCACCGATCCAGGGCTTCAGCCGGTATTCTTCCTCAGCAGATCGGCGTGGCAGGGCAATTGTGGCTCAGAGCCTGGAGATTTTGGTTTGGGGCCTGCCATGCAAATAGAAAAGGAGAATTCAAATGCCGTTGCTGCAACTCCTACTCTGTGAGGTCCAGTGTTCAACGAACTGTTCCTAAAGTGTTTGTGGCCGGAGCAGCTGGATACTCTAGCTTACTCCATCTTTGGTTCTTCATTGTACAGAGTTTGTAAACCTGAGTTCGAGGTTTAAGATGAAAGGAACCTACTCGGAGGAGGCTGTGGATGTGCTGCACAGACATCCCGTGGAAGCATGGAGGATCTGTATTCGAAGGACGCCAAATGAGCCACCCCGTGTTGAAATGTACCCCTTCGGAACCTGGGCAAAAGCTCTGAAACAAAACCCTGAAACCCAAAACCCGAAACCCCAACCAAATCTTGACCTCCCGAGCCCTCGGCGTGCGATGGGCCAAAGCTCTGGACCTGGGCCGCTTTCAACTTGGTTGTACAGTTGGGGCCCTTGTAGGTATTTATGAGTAGGCACCTCTATAGTCTTATTCTTTCGAATCGCTGCTTCGGGTTTTCAGGAGGAGTTTCAGCTGGCTCTTGTCTTCTAAGGACCCCTTTACCACCCCTGCATGTATGTTCACAGCATAGTACGGTTTAGGGTTTCATCTGCAAACTTCGAAGATCATGTTGTTGGGTCTTTGACGCTGAATCCTAAACCCTGTCCGGGCTCGGGCTCTACGCTGTCTTGCAGGGGGCTTCTAGGTCCTAGTGAAAGGTACCGTGCCTAAAGACACGGGGACACATTTTCCCTTCTCTTTGGGGGGCCTTTTTTTGGGCTCCCACGTCTGCCATGGTCAAGGCTCCACTTCAAGAGCCAGGGGACTCAGTAGGGTTTGTCAGTAAGGTAGAAAAGCTAGAGTAGCATATAACCCCAGCCTGGGTACTTATGACTCCACCTACTTGTCCCTTGATCCTTTGAGTAGGGCTTGAGCGCTCAATTCTGAGATGAGGATTCAAGGCAAAGCTCTTTGAGGTTTCCAGATTTTGGAACCGTTGCAGGTCTTATCAACGCCTTATGGCCCTTAGTGCCATTCTGCACTTCTTCAAAAGCCTGTTTTCAAAACCTTACAGAGCCTGAAGAGGGGTCTTCGTCGTCTTCCACTTTGGTTGCGGGTTTGAGGGTTAGCGGGTTCCCTACCTGCTCTTGGCGACACTTCAATTTAGTTTTTGGGAAGTTTACGCGACGGAGGATTCAACGTGGGTTGCGCCCTTTGCGAGCCGGAACTTTGCTCTCCCATCCAGGGTTTTTCTCAGCTGGCGGTTTGTGTCTCTTTTCTTACACAACTCTTTTGGCGGCTTGTTTCGACGTCTTGGGAAAAATGCTAAAAACCATAATCATATACCAGCAAGCGTAACAGCCAGAGACACGGCAGTGAATTGAACAGCAATCAT